TATATATATATATTCTTGGGAGAACAGAGCGAACGAACAGTATAAACTTTTATACAGTAAAATGTGTGTTGCAATGTAGAATCGTTGACAAAGTACACACAGTCAGCGTTCCTTCCTTTCAAGACTCTCGATTCCGCTCCTGGAAAGAGCGCATCATCGCCGGGGAAAAAGCATATCGTTGTTACTTTGTGACCGCTGATGATCAGCGTTCAGGGCTTTGAGGGTTGGGGTGGAGAGATACCCAAGGATTTAGCCTTACTTCAAATGAAGCCACAGCACATCGCATCTCCATCTACGTCGTAAAATTTCTTCAGCAAAGAACATGATGAAATTGTAGGATCCTTAAAGAAGCTGTCCCACATCTTGCATTAAGTGCTATGCAAGTGCCGTCAGTCATACATTTATCCATCACGGATGACAATCTCAGCTTTGCTTTAGAACACCGTATTAATTGGATGACCTCACCATCTTGCCTCTCCTTGCACACACTCTGAAGCGATATTTTCTCCAGCTCTGTTAGTAATTTCCTGGAGGTTTTGAACAGAGGTATACACCGCTTGAAATAACCCCCAGACACCCCATTTATAGGTGAATATTCTCTCGCCATATACCCGTGAAGTGTCACTGCCCCGATGGTGGGGTAGTGACACTTGGCCCGAACGCTGACCCGTCAGTACCATCATATCGAGACAATGTTGAAATGTCTTTGTTACATAAATCGAGCCAAGCCTTTCTACTCGTAATTTACAGTCACCCCTCAATCTCATCGGCTCTGACACGGGAGATTGCGAAACCCAGGCGCTTCAACTCTTCACCTGTTCTGACGCAAGAAACAACGTCCCAAAACTATACGCTAAAATAAAATTCCGACAATAAATCACCATTCCCGTTATATCAGAGTGACACTCTGGAAAAAGCGATATATAGCGAGACTTTTTCGCTTCTTCCTGAAACCTGGCTCAGTGTCATTCTAACTTTGTGTGAGAAACCTTGCCATGCCATTGCTATCAATTTCCGACATGACAGTCTTGCACAAAACCTATCGCAGTTTCGTGTCCATGCCAGAAAAGCCCCTATTTCTAGCATAAGTGGATTAATGACTCGCTAATGCTACACCAGAATAGAAGTGCGTGGCACCCAGCTCTTTTTATCTCGTGATTAATAGCGCTCCAGCCATTCATGACTCAGATATGATCTTGTCTCAAACACAGGTCCATGACCAGACAACGATCCACGCTGATAAAGTATCGAACCTCACGTGAATGTTTAACATGCCTTTGACACTTTAGAAGTGTCCCAGCCGAAATTTTCACGGGGATCGCATCCAAATTTTGCACCCAGATGTCACCGCATAATGTTTACTGTTCTCGCGTACACAATTACACGACGCTCCTGTATCTATTAGAGCTCACAAAAGCTTCACATATTCTGAGACGTTGTTATTTACGACCTTATCACGAAGGACCCCCTCCTTAAGGAATCGAAGAGCATCACGAGTCACCGGACGGCGGTCAACCCGGTCGTCACTGCCCGCCACCGACTCTTCTCGATAAGAACA